CTGCAATAAACTATAAATAATAATGTAAATATAAAATATATAATGTAAAATATAAAAGTGATACACCCAATGACTTCCTACCATGTCCGCTTTTAGGCGTTTCTCAATCAGTGTTTATTACTTATTATCGTCCTTGGACATAAATGCAATTGGATGTGACTCAGTCAGGTTCAACACAACATAAAACTGTACAGTATAACAACAGTTTACATAGTTTTTAAATTGTTTTAGGTATTATAAATAGTCAAGAGATGATTTAAAGTATACAGGAGGATGTGTGCAGATATATGCAAAAATACTTTGGTATGTCATATAAGGGACTTGAGCCTCTGTGGATTTTTATATCTGTGGAGGGGTCCTGGCACAAGTCCCCTGTAGATATCAAGGAACGACTGTGAATTTACAATATGGGACTTTAATATATGAGCTGAGTAATACACTTCCAGTTGAGCCAAGTCAAGTAACCACAGTAACACAGGGTGGGAACAAACACAGGCATGTAATTCAAATAAGAACCTGGAAATTTTAAAGAAAATCACAAAACCTCCTACGTCACTGGTGCAGGAGTGTGAGTTTGGGGTGGCAAGCCCTGCCAGCCTGAGGGACAGATGGTCAAGCAGACTAGTGTGCATGCATGCACAAGACAAAAGAGGCTGTACAATCAATGCCAAAAAATGTGCTGGCACAAAATGTCTAACTACTGGCCCGTCAACCTAAATATAAGGACTAACTTTAGCTTTCTGAGAAGCTTACAGTTTGTATTGTTCATTTTTAAATGATTCATCTGTAATTCCTATGCTCGTGATTATCATGTTTCGGTTAAAGCCATATGCCTACATTATGTCATTTAAAAAATTAAATATGCTCCCAGTTTTTCTTATCTGCACAGTACGTGGGCCACGATGCAGTGCTGTGTCCAAGCTAATTGAGTTTCCATGGAGAGTTTGCAAGTAATGGTGCCAAAAGGAAATTATAATCATAACAAAAGCAGATGTTGACTTAATAGAATTTTCCACAAGTTATGGATATTAGCTGAATAAATTGCTGGAGTATTTAACATGAATAAAAGAAGTGAAGCAAAACCTATTGCTATTATATCAGGGAGGAAGCTGATGCCTGTTAGGTCCCACTTAAAAATGCGTTCATTGGAGAGTTTTAAGAAATACTTGGCAAATCTCATTTAGATCAAAAAGCAATGTCAAAGCCCCAGAGCCATCTGCAGACCTTTTTCCCAATTAATTTGACACAGGCCACAATAAAAAAAAAAATTAAAAACACACACACACACACACACACAAAATGGTTCAACTTCTGGTACAACGTCCATATCTTTCACAGGGTGCCATTTTTTGGGCACGACTCCTGAAAATCTGAAAAAGCACCCGGTATTTCTGCATTAAATATACGCTCAGGGACACCACACTTTGGTCCAACATGATGGACTCTACCTTTCTCCACACTGAACCACTGGGAGTGAACTCCAGCTGTCCTGTGTTTCACAGGCTGAGAACCCACCACATCTGCTCGTCTTTATGAAAGCACCTAGGGCTCGAGTCGGGGTAAACTTCTAATTCGGAAATTTAAATTAGCACCCTCCAGCAGAAGTAAACAAACCAGCTGGGATAAAAAGAAAAACGAACAAAAAAAACCACACACACAAGCGAGTTGTGAGGTTAGTGTAAATAACACAAAGAAGCAACTCCAGGCAAGTGGGAAGGTCTCAGTCACAAGATGACAAAGACCTGCCTGACAGGTACATGGGGCCAGAACTGCAGGGCACTGCATACCAGCTCTCGTCTGTGTATCTTTTTTGTCACATTAGGATTACATGCATCCAAAGCCTACAGCGCTTGAGGAGAAAACGTTTCCATAGCAGAACTCACACTCCCTGTCTCTGTAACTTCTGAATCATTACTCAGTCTGGCATTATATCGAAAAGTGATAGAAGACAAGGTTATACAAGAAATCATACAATCACAAGGAGAACATCCATCCTGCAGAAGCATAGCTGTGGATCCACTATGGATGTGAGGCAGCAGCACCAACTGCTGAGTCACAATACACCCCCCCCCCCATCCATCCAACCTTTAACTGTTTACTGTAACTGTGTTTGTAAGGCATTAGGATTGAAGAGAACAGTAACAATAAAACTATAGCTCAGTTGTCTAAATATAGAAAACTTCTTTGCACCTGCTACATACTTGCCACATATATGGGAGGTTTTCTTTATTAAATGTGCAGGAGCTCAATACGGATAAGATGACTTGAGTCATCCACAGGCGGTATGCTGGTGCGGTGGTTAATACTGTTGCCTTCCACCTCTGGGATCAGGGTTTGAGTCTCTGCCATGGCTCTGCGTGTGGAGTTTGCATGTTATCCCCATGTTATTATCTGTAAATCAAGCTACAGTATAAAGTCCAAAAACATGTTAAGATGAACTGGAGTTATCAATTTGTCTACGAGTTGGTGTGCCTTGCGATGGGTTGGCACCTCATTCTAGGTTAGTCCCTGCCTTGTGCCCATAGGCTCTGAAACCCCATGGCTGTGATTAGGACAAGTATGTACAGAAAATATATGGTGTTATCAACACTGAAGAGGTTGGAAAAGCATTACGGCTTCTGTACAAAGGTGTGAGGCCACTCTTTAAGTGATTAAGACCTGAATGAATTAAAATGGAAGCAATAACCAGAAGGTAAGGGAATTTTGAAAACTCTGTATGCTATTTATTTGGTAGCTCAGCCTCACAGGGCAGAGTTTGGTTTAAATCAATGAGCTGCATTTTTGATAGACAAAAGCATAGTTTTTGAACATCAGTACAAAACTGTAGGTAGGACACGCCGCCGGCCATGAATATCACCGGCTCGCCCGGGCGTCGTGTCCTCTGTCGTGAATCAGCAGTGCAGCCCGTTCAAACCTGCATGTCATGGTCTGTGATTCAGCACTCCAGCTCCGCAATTCGCTTTTAACACCCTTTAACAAACTGTGCAATTTTAACACTTTTAAGCCAAAGGTTTTTTTTTTTTTCCTCGTATATCTGTGTGCTCTGGCTTTCTTCAAATTCTCTCCGTTCTCATTGCAATATTTGGCATCAGGTTTAAAAAGAATATTTTAGACATCACCGTAATATAATTCCGCTTTGAATCTGACAGAATATCTTTATAGCCAGATAACCAGCAGCATTGGGCCAGTATCATAATGTCAGGTATTTAATTTATCATTTAAGGAGGCAACATCATTCTGTTGTTAATTATTAATTAATAATTATTATTATAAGCAATAATATTTCAAGTAAAATCTTAAACGCTAACATTAGTGGCGTCGGAAAGGGTTGGGGTGGAAGGGGGGGATTTTAAAATAATTTTAGAAAAATAAAGATTTCATCATTTTAAATGATTAACATTGCTTAGGGTACAGTTTCACAAAAAACATAAAATATAACTGGTTCATATGATAACGTGTTTGACAGGACTATAGTCTTAGGTGTATGTTTTGTCCCGCACTCTGCATGCACAACGAACTGACCTCAGTAACACGTAGATTCATAATGCGAGATAAGGAATGTGCTCATATTTAGATATTTATTTATGGGGGAGGGTGCTCTGTCGATACTGGGGGGGGGTGTCCTTCCCATCCCCCCTATTTCTGATGCCCCTGGCTAAAACTATCCATCCATCCATGCTAACATCCATTTCCATAACTGTTTCACCAATGCAGAGTCAGGCAGAGTCTATCCCAGAGAGTACAGGCGGGGGCAGGCATGTGCAGGGGTGACTAAGGGTGTCAGAGCACCTGCCCCTCTTACCTGAGTGCACTTATATCATGTTCAAAGTGCCCCTTTTCAATAATCAACGATCATGCAAAATGTATCCCAGCCCCCCCACCCCCAAGCAGAGAGTATTTACCAAAAGGCATCCCACCCCCTCGGCCTGCAAATACAGGTCGGCTATGCCCACCCTGTGATGGATGCCAGTCCACAGGGCACACTCCCATGAAGCACTATGAACCCAAAAACCCAGAAAAATCCTCCCCAAATTCGGGGACAACATTCATACCTCACCCACCATCCATCTAATCCTTATAACAAATTCTAAAAGGGATCGCTTAACATTAAAAAAACATTTATTTTAATGTTACATGAAGAAACGTTTCTCTGATCTCCTTAATGCTGCTGCATAATTGTAATTTTTGATATAGCTGCATACTTCAATGGTTCTTACAAAAGTCAAAATACAAATGTTTTAACGGCGCAGGCATTTGAAATGCAGCTAATGCCTGACTAGACGTTAACCAGCTGCTTTTCCATGTCTTGAGGGAACATGCATGTGCAGAGCGCTCCTCCAGGGCTCTTTGTCAAAGCCTGATGTCCCAACCCAAGGATACTGACCCACTTGCTATATACACACGGCTTGTTTATTGAGCAACATCAGCCAATTCTGCCCCAGATAGCTCTTTGAAATTGTCCCATGTGTCAGCTTCCACAGGGCTTTGAGAAGAAGCATTTCCCATTTCCCTTGCTATATAGAGCGACTGTGTGCCAGTACAATATATGCAGATCCTATTTTAGGAGACCATTTAGGATTCTCAATCTCAAAGCTTTGGATGTTATTATTGGATTATCATGGGACTATTTTAGGATTATTATGATGAAAGATATGGTATTAAACACGGTCTTTTACAATGACAAATCCTTGGAGTCAGTCTACAGAAAAATCCTCTCATGTGTCTCTATGCCACACAAACTGGCGAATAACAGCCAACATAGTTTAAAGCACAGATACCTCTCTCCTGGTTTTTCACCATGTACAGTCCAAAAGCAACTATACAGGGCTTTTCATCTCTCCATGTTTTTCTACAGCTTTTATTAAAAAATTTCATGAATCTGGAAAAGAGGTTAAATATTATGCTGTCCACATTCCATTTTTGTGGTCAGTTTTTCTGTTCATTGTCTGAGGATTTGAAAATGCAAAGGTTTAAAAGGTCTGAAAAGAAATATTATTGAAGATTTGTTTCCTGTTTAATAGACAATTACTGAACACTTTGTTTCAGCTTTTGGGATCAGGGGTCAGACTCAGATCAGTGCTCTTCTTTACCCCAGTCTGGACTGAAGTAGATTCTGGATGACAGATGTCGGAGATGGTGTGCAATAGCTTAACCATAAATACTGCAAAAAAGAGATCAAAGGCGCCCTGTCTTCAGACATACCAAGCACACTATCTTCAGATATACAAACACATCATTTTTTGAATAGCTTTCCATTGTCAGGCACACGCTTCCCATATGAAAACGTACCCTTCCGTTTGAGCTAATATTCATTACAGGCATTTGCACTGTTGGAACTGAGGAGACTCGGCTGTTTGTCTTGTGCTTCTCTGCTTGTTCTTCAATAGAGAAAGAAAATGTGGAGAAATACCTACAGTCTCTCCCTGCACTTAAATGACTATAAAGAAAAGAACAACATTGCTGACAGTTGCAGTGACGCGACTATCAAACTTATGCAGCAAAGGTGAGTGATGATGCTAAAGAATACAAAATGATCCATAGCTATTTAATGCAGGTCATGGGGAGCACTGCTGTCAGTTCATTCATAACGAAGATATTGTACAATTTCAAAAAGTGAAGCAAGGTTTCAGTGGCAAGCAGCACTGTCATAAACTGTCCAGTTAAACATAAATCATATTAAAGCAAAATATTACGCATTACGGAAATACACTTTTGTGCAGCCATACGGCATGCACACACAGAATTAATATCAGTGTAATTCTAGCTTCTTTTTATTCCTATCATATTTTTAATTCCCACTTTTCTGGCACATAGCTTAGACTGCCCTCCCCTGCTACATCAGCACCAAATTTCAGCCAGACCCTGTCTGAGACAAAGCAAACTAGTGGAAAATCTTGTGTTTAATCATGTTGCAGTTTCTGCTCTGAAATGAAAACAAAGCCCAGTTGGGTTTACAGTGTCACACAGAGAGGCTGCAGAAAAAAACATGCAGTGTACCAGAGAATGCGCAGTTATTCAAGGCTGGCCATGAATAGATATGAGTGTCATATGAGTATCAGTCAGTGCAGCCAAAAGGAATATTAACTTTATTAAATCTTTAAATCTTTTTACTTAACTAATAAATCAGAACACTAAGTGACTAAACATATTGACAATTAATATATATGAAAAATATTTTCTTTGCATGAGGTGTTGCGTTCGGCGGGCGGGCGAACAAGGAAGCAGGCGAGAGAGCCGTGTATACCGGAATACGGGGTTTATTGGGAGAGACAGGTGACGAACATCGGACATGACAATGACTAATCTGGCAAGACTAGCTCAGACGCTGACTAAATACACAGGACAAGCCAAGAGGAACAGGAAACAGGTGATGACAATCGGGAATTAACACGAGGTAACGAGGTGTGCGTGGCACACACGAGGATCGGACGAGCTGGGTGTAACATGAGGGCAATATTCATAAACTGATGCAAGGCCTTAATTGTAATATGTATATATAGGTGCTCACAGATGTGCTCATAATGTCCCCCCAATATATAGAGTAATTATGGCCTGCCCCCCAACCCCCAGTGTTGACTCCATGGCTATGGCTTTCAACACAAGCATTAAGTTAACTCATGAAAGATAAATGAATTTTCAATTAAACTATTGCATGTAAATATATATTTTTTTCATGTACACTATACATGGGCCAGGCATATATTGCAGAATATTGAAACATATAAGCACTAGTTTCCCATATATGGAAATGTGTTATTTAATATGTTGCATCATATTTTCCTATGTATCTCCATATATTTTTGTTTCGTAAGGGATGTTTACTCACTGTTCATGTGTGCATGAGTGGGGGCATGTATGAGCTGTTTAGCAAACTGGGACCCCATCCAGGGTGTCCCCTAGCTTAGCACCCCATGCTGCCTGGGGTAGACTTTAGGCTCACTGAGAAGTATAAATGCTTATGAAATGGATGGATGGTTATTTATACTCATGTACAGGAATCAGGGGCACATACAGGGTCGCTGGCCCCATCCGAAAGCTCCCGTCACTCACCGAATCAAAACACATCATCGGCTAAAGCTAAGACTGGCCCCACCGTATGAATTATAGACCATCTTATGCCTCTCCCAATTAAAAAAAAAAAAACCCTAGAACTGCCCCAAAGAGTAAAATGTGACAGAAATTGTTCACTTCATCAGTTGAATTGTAACTTTCATCACACAATAAAGGTACATTTGCCACACACTGTATTGTCAAGGGGGCCCAGGCTTACCTTTGATCCAGCTACGTCCGTCAGCTGCGGGAAGTGGCCTTTGTTCTCGCCAGCAGGAGATTCAAGCTATTTTAAACAAGACTGTGGATTTCATACGAACAGCAATGAGGTGAATGCAGTTACATTTCTGATTCTCAATAGTAATTCAAGAGGCTCTACAGGGTCCCCAAGTCTCCATCTGACCACAGACTTTTTTTTCTTAAATGACAATAATTCAGCTTACAATAAAAAAAAAAAAATACCTTGTCTGAAAGCTGCCTAACTTTGATGTGTGTGTAATTTGCAACAAAATATAAATATGAATGAACTGCCTGAATTAAAATGACTACAACATGGCTATTAATATTGCATAGAGTAGTAAAGAAGGCATATCTGAGGATCCGCAGAGTACGCAGCTACCAGATCCAGCCAACACAGAGCTTTTGATAATGCATTATAAACCATTTCCAGATCCTGTAAATTCAGAACACAATATCTGTTATCATGCCGTAGAGATTTAACACTTCTAAAGGTGTCATCTGAATGTCTGTTGCTAATGAGAGAGAGCATAGAGGAATTGCTGAGTCTTATCCTTGGTCTTTTTAATATATTGACCATACTGTCACGTCCTGCATCCATTCCCCCTCGCTCTCTAACGAGCCACACCTGTTGCTTGCTTAATCTTACCTCTTGTTACAGCCCTCGTTTGGATCCCCCCAGGTGCCTCTCGTCTGCTCCCTCGTCAGTGATGTATTTCGTGCCTCCCTGTCTTGAGCTCCCCAGTCCAGTCAATGATGTTGCTGCCTGCTCTCCCCAGTGCTCTTGCCTGATGCTCCCTGTCCTGTTTTGACCCCTTGTGGTCCGTTTCCTTTAATAAAGTCCCTTTTGGTTTTTCCGCACACCTGCCTTCTCCATTGTCCTTGCCTTCAATGTGACACATACTATGAATCAATAACAATTATTAACTACACATATATCCTTTACATAGTTACTTACACATATTACACATCAACTATGGAAACCTGGTACATAACAGTTTTCAGTAATACTTTTTTTTCTTTCAATTATATTCATTATGTCTTAAAGTAATTATGACGATGCTATTTTTTCTTCTTTTTTCTTCGTGAACATCAGCTAATAACCTATGAGCTACCGATAACATCCGGTAACACTCTGAGGAAGACGACAGCGAACGTCGAAACATGTCAGGTGAATAAAACCTAAAAAAATTAGATGTCTGATAAAAAAGAAGAAAAAATAGCATTTCAGTAATACTGTCGAGTATTTTTACAATTAAAATGCAAAAATAATGAAAATGCAAAGAACAAGCTGACCTTTATAAACAGAGTTCTCACATTCACACAAGAAACACACAATAAAAGCATTTGACACTGAAGATATCTGGCACAGAGCATCCAGTTTACCGAGTCATTAAGCCAAAAATCTGTTAATTATTATTATCTGTTAATGGTGTTCTTAGCATATTCACCTGTAAATAATAAATAAAACTAACTCACCTGTGAATAATGGCAGGTAGTGGGTATTATTTTTGCTCATTAACAATTACCGTAGGCGATTTCCCCGCATTTGACAGCCAACCCCCTTAGGAAAGTGAATGATCTGGCATATTTGTTGCCGTATAATTTTTGTATTATCATTTACAGCCAGTTTTGTTCCTTGGGTTCCGATTCAGTGGCAGTGTATTTCATTAGCGCCGTAATGCCCATCTGTTATGCATGAAGTCCTGAGGAATAACTCTACTTTCTCTAACTTCACATTCATTAACACCAAAATAATTTGTTAATATAAGTAGATACACTATGAGCATAAAATAATCAGCAACGTTTCCTATGAATAACTGCTTATCCTATTAATGTATGAGGCACTACCCGTGAGCAGAATGCCAACTCTGAGGGTCATCAAGACCAGGATTGACAAGCTCTAATTGATTTAAACACCTATAGCTTTGTTCTTAAGGTACCTCACATAGCCTGGTATATTACTAAGAGAATAACAGCTGAAATTGCTACTGACTGCTTTACTGCTTTGATGTCTGCTAGTTGCCTTGGTGAAATTCTCTAGTGTCTTTATGTTTGTTGAAATGGCTGAAAACAGGTTAATAGTTTAGTAGCTCAGTGAGACACTATAGTAATTACAGAGAGGTATCTTGGTATCTAATCAAGCAGCTGAACGGAACAACCCATTCACATGTATTCATTAAGCTCTACATAATAGTGAAACCCTCCAAGAGACAAGAAACTGGAAACCAATAGCTGACATGATCAGTCTTAGAATGTGCAGAGCAACATTACACAACTATAAACACTCTAATGTCAATGACTGAAGACCAAAACCAAGGTAAATGGTTATATCATCTTTAGAAGGCTTGCTGTTGAAAACTTTTTACTTTTACTAATTTACTTTTATTTACCAGTTGGTTTTCCCAAGTTGACCAACAAGCGAGTCAGATGATTCATCACAAGTGTACAGCTGCTACCTAAAGCTTCCAATGAGTGACCAGTAACAAGTTAGCATTAGAGAAAGAGCTATACAGTGTATTACAAAATGAAATGTTGTAATAATCCAAAATAAGATGAGCTATTCAATCAACAGAACACTTCATGATTGGTTTCTTGAAGGTTGAGTAGTCATCTTCTGGGCATTCTCTTGACAATCTCTCACAGATTGTTCTCCTGCCAGTCCTCCCTGGATTTTGGCCACAATCCTGTCCTCCTTTCGAATGTGATTAGTAACCACCAGACATATTCTGGCTGTATTCTTCCTGGGTGGCTCTGTGGCTGTACTGTACATGGGAAGACTGCAGTTGCTGCCCAGTGTTGTGGTTCTGAATGCCGTTCAACAGAGCTTCGTGCAGTGATTTGCCAGAATTTTTAAGTTTTGTTTAATCTGTCTATAGATTTATTATTTGTGTAATGATGTGGAACATCCTCTGTATATGTTCTTGACTTGAGACAGGAAGCAATGTCTTTTTTTGCAGAAAAGGGGTTTCCTCTGTGGTGATCTCCCATGAACACAATACTTGTTTGCTACATGGTTATGTGCTTGGTTTAAATCGTTTGTCCAGAAACATATTTATCCATCAGTTTATTCTCCAACCACTTATCTTCATCAGGGTCACAGAGTGAATAAATATATGGAAAAGTGAAACATATGAAAAAATATGTGCGTATAATGCATCATGACCAGTCTCATTTAATTTTGACCTTTTTATATTATAATATTTAAGGGGCTATTCATGCAGAAATCCTGATAATTTCAATGGTTTACAAAGTTCAGATATACAGTAAATGGCATTCCACCAGGCCATTCAGTCTGTTCTCAGGCTTCTCAGCCGCCTGGTCATGGTGGCAATAACACAGTCCTTTCATCTTGCTGCTGGTCATCCTATTCCTCTTTTCAACTTTTACAGCAATTAGGGTCTTCCTCAATGCACTGGGTCTTTTCTTATGGTACCCAAAATAGCATAGGTTTTAGATGAAAGTTCAGGCTTGATCTTCTTGTTTATTTTCATTTACAGTCCATCATATTCACCTGCATCATAGCTTCAAAAGATACCTTCCCAAAAGTCTTCATAGCTTCCCCTAAGATCTTCGTTCTTAGTTCCATCAGTTATATCACTTGTATTTTGACCAATCCTAGGCTCTTCTTCTCAGCTCTGCCAAGTGCCAGACAGTAACATGTTTCTTAACCTGGTGCTCATAAACACTAAAGTGAGCTTTTCTTCACATTGTCATAACCTTTGTCCTCTAACACATTTAACCATTGAGATCTTTTCGATCTGTTCTTTTACCTTAGAAGTATCTTCAGACTGTCTTCGTTTTCTGCTATAAACATGCTGTCATCAGCTTATTACTGGATGTGATGTTTCTTTGAACAATCCAGTCCATAACTCTCTTCTTCTGGTCCAGCTTTTCCATTATGTGTTATATTTTTTCCAAATTGTATTCTGACTGGTTTATTATCCACACAGAAATATACCCATTTTTTCTGAAAAGTCCTATAGTGTGACATAGCCAACACCATGGAACGCTTTGTGGTAATCAGTAATATACATATGTACTCCTAACATTGCTTTTTTTGGTTATCTGTTATATGTCACCAAAGATGCTTTTCACCATGTTCCCCAGGCTTTCATGGCTATTTTTGTTTTCCACAGGGTTCTGGTATTATACAAGCACAGAGCAAGTTTGGGATTCAAACCTTCAGCCCTATAGATCTAGACCACAGCTTTACTGACTGAGCCACTGTGCTGCCCTATGCTTAATCTACACTACACTGTTCTATGCTATACTATACAGTATTATATTACATATTCAAACTTTGCAAGTTGCTAATAGCTTACGGAGAATTGCACATATTGCCACTTGGTGATTACTTGTGGTACTCGCAGTTTTGTTACTGTCATAGTGTGATACAGCCAGCAACAATCCAATTATCCATTGTGTTCCTGTAGGCTCCTGTAACTCAACCAGCAGAGCATTGTGTTAACATCCCAAGGAGCACACGTAAAGTGTAACCCTTCCTCTACTGTAAGTCACTTTGGATAAAAGCATCAGACAAATTAATAAAATCTAACACTGAGAGCCACTCCCCAGTGTATCACATCGCAGAGAATACGTGACAGAGTGGAACGAGATGGGGGCAAGAGGTTGGTGGCATCAGCGGCTGAGGGTGGCTGTTGAGAGGTGAAGTTACTCTTTTATGGCACACAGTGGGTTTGAGACTCTAAATTCAGTAAACACCTAGGAGCAGGTTTCATTAGGCTAGAGTTCTGGAGGTTGGAGAAAAAGCAGCTGGAGAATCGACACAAACACTGCACTCTCTCTGTCTCCTGGGAGACAGATGTGGGAGCTCAAACACTTCATTATCACAGCACTATGGTCCCTTCTGTGAGGTGCTGCATCTGCTCCTTTTATTTTGCACCCATATGAACCAATTACCAAACATGGAAGGGGTTTAGTTCATTCATCCATTCGATGTCCCTTGTGATATGAATCTCAGGCCCCCCAGAGGGTGTCAGAAAGTCAGACAAGTAGCAAAACTCACTGTTATTATAAGACAATTGTGTTGTGCGAAAGGCTAAATGGAATTCAT